CACACACACACACACACGCACACACACACGCACACACACACGCACACACACGCACACCCACCCACTCACCCAGACACACACGCTTACACACACGCACACACACACACGCACCTCACGGACCGCGAACCCCTGCCGGTGTGGCGCGGTGCCGCAGGCCCTCCTTTAGGGACGTAGTGGCGCGCCTCGAGACCCTGCACGCCGCCGCCGCCGCGGACAGCGCGGGCGCGGCCTCCTGCTTCGAAGACCCCCGCGGCTCCGCGTCGGCGCCGGCTGCGCCCGACATCGCGCTGCACGTGCACCCGCACGTCTGCGGCGCCGGCCGCGGGACCGAGCTGACCCAGAACCGCGTCCACGCACTCGGCAGCAGCGAGGCGCCGCCTGTTGGCGCGTACGTGCTCACGACGCCGTTCGCCGCCGGGTCCGGCTCGGACGACGGCAGCAACCGCAACGGCGTGACGGGGTGGTTCTGAAACAGGGCCGACCGATCTTCAACCTTCGCGTTTTCGGGCAAAACTGCGGCCATGCGGAGGCGCCTCCCCACTAGAAACACTGCCGTAGCGCCCCCCCCCCTATCGCAACCCCTCATGCTATCTTTTGGCAGTGGGACGGCCTCGACGCCTGACGCATCCCCCTCGGGCTTCGATCAGAGTTTTGGCCACACAGTACGCAGCACTGCGGCCCCCAGAGCATTACGTGGGCCCTCGCCTCCACTGCCCCGAGGAGCCCTGAGAGAGGCCGCTGGGGGCGGCCCCTCCCTTGACAGGAAGCACGAGCCACTGCAATTGATGTATGAACCTGCCTCACGCACCTTGCGCATCACGGATCCATTTGCACACAACCGGAGATGTACTCAGATCTGTTGAAAAACTGCTTTCTTTGAAATGAAACGAACGGCCCGCGCGTGTGTCCGGCGGTCCACCCAGCGCCGCCGGCCCGCCCTCGCCGCCGTGGCCTTAATCCGTGAATCATTTCCCGCGCCATCACGTGCGCCCCTCGACAGGCATGCTTACGCAAACGCGCCGGAGCACCGCGCCGCACCAGCGCCATCCATCCTGGTGATCGCACTCAACCCATTATCAGATTTGTTCGCGGTCTGCAGCCCGCGGCCGCAACGGGGAAGTGCCTGGAAAGGCTGGCGCGTCGGAAATGGGAGGACCCCAAACTCCCCATCCTCCTTCGCTGCGCGCAGTCGGGCTTTTGAGAGCGGAGTGCTCCATTGATATTGAAATGCGATTATGCGCCCCTATTGATTATATGCATGTTTGAATTGCCGAAACCGTTGAAAACCGGTGCACGCCATGCGCGCCAGCGTCGATGAAAGCCCCAAAAGCAGTCAGAAACGTCCTTAGCCTTCAGCATCGCCCCCTGTCGTGCGCCCGCGCACGCCGCAGTCGCCCCGCCGCGCGGGTGTTGTTTTTCGCTCGGCTGTGCGGCGCCCCTTTCAACCCCTCCACGGTCGACCAAGGCAGCAGCTGGCCCCCGCGGCGGGGGTGTGGTGAGCTGTTCGCCGCCAGTTGGGGCGCTGTTAGGACGTTGTTAATCAATGAATGAATTGCCCACCATCTCCCGGCCCCTGCGTGTGCCGCATGCACGACGTGGCGGGCCGCAGGCGCGCGCCTGAGCGCTCGCTCGTCCGACGCCTGCACGGGCCCCTGCACGTTGAACGGTCTTTGCAACCAAATGAATGTATCATGAATTCGTAGTCGGCTTCCTACATGTAAAAGCTCCAACACGCACGACATGCATCCCTCACTCGCCCCAGCAGCCCACACCCAGTGCGAGAGGTCCAGCGCCTGTCATTCTGCAGGCATGGCCAAGCGTGGGAGCATAGGCAAGCACCAGCGGCCGGGCCACGCGTCATCCGTGCACGTAGCCGAGTCTGACGCGGCGAGTCGCGGATGCGCAGAGGCTGGTGGTCAAGTGTCAGCGCAAAGCAGTGCAGTCACATCCTTCTGACGGCTCCTTGCGACTGACGCGCGGCAGATCAGATTAGGATGGCGACGGACGCGTAACAGATTTGCGCGGAAGGGGGCGAGCCAGGGCATCATATGATCAGTCCACCACCGCGCAGTCCACCGCAGCACAGCCCAGCGCAGCGCAGCGGGACCCAGCGCGCCCCCATTGGTTGGCGCGCCCGCTTCGCGATCGGCAGTGAGCAGCCGCGGCCGCCTGCTCTCCTCACCTCCACCGGCCCAGCCCCACACAGGCGGCCCTCCCTTTACTCTCAGGTCGCCGCACTCCGCCGGCCCCCTCCCCCAACTGACAACCATCTCCGCTGCCCGCCCCTTGTGTACGACTGCCACATGCATCCACACGACTGGAGTCCCGCCACCCACAAATTGCAACCCTCATGACCAGCCCGCACCCCCTCACCTCGAACGTCAACTCCGCCGCCATGATGAGCTGGGAGGCGACCGCGCGCTTGGCCCAGCCCGGCAGCCCCCCCCCCACGCCTGGCAGCGGGGCGTCGAGGATCCGCGGCTGCAGGTTGTGGCGGACGCGCGCCAGGGCACTGCTGCCGTGGACGATCCCACATCCAGGACCTGCCCGGGGG